GTGATGGAGAGAACGAAGGTGGGAACCGTGGAGCAGCTCAGGTTGAGAAGACGGCCCTAGGAGACAGCAGGAGGGGTCTGCAGAGAGCTGACCTTGCCCCCAAAGCCGAACCGAATCGCGTCTTGAGGTAAGATTCACCTCTACCCCCTCCCTGGGGCAGGGGGCAACCACAGCACAGTGATTCAAGGGCCACCTATGTGACCAGGGTGTTCAAACTCTGCCTGTTTCCACCCTAACCCTCAGCTTTAAGGCAGGGAGATTTTGTGGTCCCTAGAAAGAGCCAGTCCTTCCTACTGCCAGGAGAGCTCCAGTGGGAAGAGGAGACACCCAGCCAGTTTGCTGCGTGGGAAACCCTGCCAAAGCCAGAAGCAGATGGCGTTTGGCTGATAGGGACGGCTCCCGGCTCGAAAGAACGGAGCCAGATGGCACCTCTGTGGCTGCACGTGGTACATGATCCCTCCCCTGCCTCAAGAAAAGGAAAATTAAAAAAATAAATCAATCAGGAAACCCTTTCCTGAGCTCTGAACCTCATCCTATGTACAAAGCTTCCCAGCCCCTTTCCACCTGGTTAAATCTCTGTTACAAACTCTGGCATGCAGCAATTTCCCAATAAAGCAACGTTGTGGCACAGCTCTTGGCGCACCTCAGCCAGCAACACCACCCGCTTCCCATCCGGCCAGATGACGTGGTCCACTTGGGAGCGAACCCGCTCCCAGGTCAGCTCCGGGGTCCGGAGGCTGGTCTGCAAGAGGAGGAGGAAGAGGCTGGAGTCATCGCGGGAGGACAGCGGGGCGGACGCAGCCGTCGAGGTGGCAGGCAGACTCACCACATCGATCTCGGTGTTGGAATGGCCCATGTTGCACACAATGCAGCTGTTCTTCATCCGATCCAGGTGTTCTCTGGTCACGACGTTCTTGTTTCCTGCAGAGGGGGCACAGATGAACCCAAGGCAGTGGAAATATAAAACCTCCGATTTCTCCTTCCCTGCACTTGGGTCAGAGAAGCTCAGCTTGGGGCAACATCGGATGAACTTCAACCAGAACGAGAGCCCTCCTGGCTGTGACAACAGAGAAACGCATGGGATGAGTGCTGATCTTTGGTCCCACAAATTAACCAGGCTCTAGGAGACCCCAAAATACTTCTGGGGACACGTGGCTGTGATGTCCCTCCTCCCAGCAGCTGAGGAGGACCGTGGCCAAATAGCAGACTGGGGGGGGTAGGAGGAAAAGTTCTTGCCAGAGCACAGCTATTGCTCTTGTAAAATTAGCAGCACATGGCAGCAAAGTGTCCTCCATCCCCAGCTCCCCCAGAACCCTTGAGACACCTGCTTGGGAAAGACTGCTCCTTCTCAGCCTGCTCCAAGGCTCACCCATGACCTTCTCCCTCCCTACCTGTGCAGGTGATGACGACATCCACCTGACGGATTACTTCACTCAGCTTCACCACCCGAAATCCGTCCATGCTGGCAAAAAAGGGGGAGAGGGACCACAATGAGGAGGAGAAGCCTTGTTCCCGCTCTGCCCCAGGCCAGGAGGGATCTCAGCACTGTATTGCCGCAGCAGCTCCAAATTCCTCACACAGCAGCCAGGCAATTGCTGGCTTCCACACCCCCAGGGACGCCAGATGCAAGAGGAAGGGCTGTGCAAAGGATGTGGCGTCAAACCTGCTCTCACAAATGTTGGAGGAGCCGGGGGATGCGTGGAGCATTCAGCCAGCCCTGCACGAACCCTCGAGCAGCCTTCCCAAGCCAGCTGGTGCAGGTGCCTGCCGCCTGGTACCCCACAGCCCTGAACGCTGCCCTTCCCCATCACAACCCAACAAGACAGATATTCTCTGAGACGAGCCACAGGATCCTCCTGGCTCTGTTTCAGCCTCTGTCAGGGTTTACAGGAGGCCAGAGAGCAGAGGAAGAGATGGTCACAAGCAGCGTGTAACATCTTACCAAGCTTGGAGAGCGCAGATGGGGTCGATCTCCGTGACGTAGACTATGGCTCCCAGGGCTTTCAGAGCGGCGCAGCATCCCTTGCCGACCTGCCAAGGCAAAGCGTCAGCACGAAGCTGAACGCGGGATGTGCCGAGTGCTACAATCCCTTCCCTGAAACAGCCCGAGTGTGTCTCAGGCTGGGAGATGCTCGTCCCGGCCATCTGCCTGATGCCAGGAGCAGCTCAGCGATGTACCTGGCGAGTGGCACTTCTGCCGCAAGCCCAGCTCCCCCTCCAAGGCCACCAGCCCTCCAGCATGGCAACCAGCTGGCAGGAGCTTTCCAAAACCATCACGCTCGCAGCCTGTGCAGCCCCCGGCACCACAGGAGCCCTTCTGAGCTCTCCTCCAAGAGGAGATTAAAGCCAGTCTGGATGAGCATGCAATTCCCCCATGTGCCTTGAAGCCAAAGGGTTTCTTTGGCCTTCAGAGCTGTCCTGCACTGATCAGGGGACAGATCCTCCAGCCCACACTCCCCACATCAGCACGGGAGAGAGCAGAGCTCCTGTAACAGCGTCTCTGACTCTACCCCTCTCCTCACTACAGAATTAAACTGAAGTCCAGCTCTCCACACCACTCACCCACCCTAACACCTGGCTAATCCGCACGTACCCATGCTCAGCCCCGTTTTCTGACCAGCAAGATGCTGCTGGGTGAGAAACATCTCCAGAGACACCCTCACTTATCACCCAGCTCCAACCTCAGGTCTCCTGAAAACAGACAGGCAGGGCAAACTGGGACTCCAACCCACATCCCAACGGGAAAACAAATGAGGGTGGAAGGAATCCCTTGTTTTGAAGAAGTCCAGTAAAACTCAGGACAGGCCCTGGAGACTACAACTCCCAGCACAACTCAAGGCTGGAGAATCAGACGCCACCCCGGAGCGCCTTGGCAAGAGCCAGCGCAGCCTCTTGGTCGAGCAGAGCTGGGCTCCACTGGTGTCTAAATAAATTAGTAAGAGTGCTCCTGCTGGGAAGAGCATTTGCAGCTACTGCCAGGCCCTTTGCAGCGCGGGAAGATAAACACCCACGCAGACAGTGCACAGATGGAGGGAAGGTGTCAGCTCCCAGCTCGGTGCTCTTCCAGGGCAGAATCATTTACAAGTTCGTGATACGATTCCCCTCTGCCAGAACATTACCCACCAGCGAGATGCAGCCTGCCCCTCCACCTCCTCTGTCACAGGCTTGGTGACAGCCGGGCTGGATGCTGAACTCAGTCCAGGGACAGCAGATGGGAGCACCCATGGGTAGTTATAATTCAGCCCAGCATTCCCAGCAACTGTCGTATTTGCAGCCCAGCTAATCTGCAGGCAAACTGGGAAATCTGATGCTTGTTCTCCAGCCTCTCAGCAGGCTCTAGCAAGACTTCCCTGGTAATCGCTCACCAGGTTTGATCTACTCCTATATCAAGGGCACGTGGACTTTGCACAGGGAAGAAGCAGGATGCTGAGCTCAGGGGAAGGATGGCTCGGGGGGAGGCTGACTCACAGCTCCACCGACTGCCGCTTATGAAACTCACCTCCCCATAACCACAAACCACCACTTGCTTCCCTCCAAACATCACATCCGTGGTCCTCTTCAGGCTGGGGGACAGAGAGAGACCTGTGTTGGGATTAGTCAAGCGCACACCGCTGACAGCACAGGGCAGCGCTCCGCTGCAAGAGCCCCCAAAACCAGGTCCTGCAAGCACACGGCAAGGGCAAAGCAGCAAAGAGCCCAATCTCTGCACAAGAGGAGTCAGAGCCAAATCCACCAGTGTGAGGGTGTCCTGGTTTCAGCTGGGATAGAGTTAATTTTCTTCCTAGTAGCAGGCACAGTGCTGTGTTTTGGGTTTAGGATGAGGATAACGCTGATAACACACCGATGTTTGAGTTGTTGCTCAGTACTGCTCACACCAGGCAAGGACTTTTCAGGTTCCCATGCTCTGCCAGGGGCACAAGAAGCTGGGAGGGGGCACAGCCAGGCCAGCTGACCCCAACTGCCCAAGGGCTGTTCCATCCCATACGGAGTCGTGCCCAGTATAGAAACTGGGGGGGTGAGAATAACGCTGATAACACACCGATGTTTGACTTGTTTCTTAGTACTGCTCACACCAGGCAAGGACTTTTCAGGTTCCCATGCTCTGCCAGGGGCACAAGAAGCTGGGAGGGGGCACAGCCAGGCCAGCTGACCCCAACTGCCCCAAGGGCTGTTCCATCCCATACAGAGTCATGCCCAGTATAGAAATTGGGGGGGTTGGCCGGGGGGCTGAGATTGCTGCTCGGGGACAGGCTGGGCATCAGTCAGCAGGTGGTGAGCAACTGCATTGCACATCACTTGCTTTGTATATTCTTTTATCATTATTATTATTTTCTCTTCCTCTGCTGTCCTATTAAACTGTCTTTACCTCAACCCACAGGTTTTACAATTTTTTTCCAGTTCTCTCCCCCATCCTACCGGGAGCGGGGAGGGTGAGCAAGCGGCTCTGCGGTCCTTAGTTGCTGACTGGGTTTAAACCACAACAGAGTGATGGTGCAGATGAGGAGAAAGGTTGGACTCACCCGTCCAGGATGGATTCCCGGCAGCAATATAGATTATCGAATTTCTGTTTGGTGACAGAGTCGTTCACGTTCATGGCTGGGACACACAGCTTCCCGGCCTTGGAGAGCTGGTACAGCCTGGAAGAGGACAGAGGCAGGTCAGAGCAGAGAGCAGCAACCCAAGAGGAGATCTCCAGACCAGCCTTCCCAAACCTCCTACCTGTGCACACCAGTCACACTCTCCTCCACAATCCCTCGGATCTTCTTGAATACGTTGGGGTATTTCTTATAAACCCAATGGGTCAGGTCCCCACCATCATCCAGGATCTAGAGAACATGGAGAAGGAACATGGAGCAGTCAGGCCTTCCACTGGGAAAAGCACCCGCTGGGGGCAGGACAGGGAAAAAGAGATGGAGCACCTTCAGGCCCCGATGGAGGGCTGTTTGGGCAGAGGCCTGGGGGCCAGGACTCCTGGGTTCACCTAGTTGCCAGCAGCTTGGGGTCTCCTCCAAAACACAGAGGATTTCTTACCCCCTGCATGGAGCTGAAGGATCCTAACAAGGTTTTCTGTCCCTGCTATCGCTCTGCAGCCTGGAAACGTGACCACAGGCAGCACTAACTAAACAGGCTGAGGTCAGAAGGACGCCACAACATTCATGCCCTGAACGCAAACAGTTGAGAGGAAAGGCTGCGGGAGCTGTCGCGGCCCACTGACACACGCTATGGCACCATTAGCAATCACGGACCGTGCATCAAGGCGGTGAGGCGTCATCTGCTCTCAGCAAGGGAAAGGGACCCTGCAGCGACCACACTCTCTTTGGGAAAGGGTGGATGGGATCTGTGTTGAGAGAGGAGCAGTTGGGGCAGCTCCCGTAGGACTGACCCTGGGGGAAAAGAGGTCCCGTGGTTTTTCTCGACTCATTGGCAGCTCCGGCAGGAGCTGCTCCCATGCCATCGGGCTGTACCAACTCAGGACGCTGTCTCCGCAGCTCCCACAATGCCCACGGTGGCCCCCAACCCAGCACCGGCTGCCGTTCTCCAGCACCCCCACTTTAACGGGGACTCGGAGGCCTTTGCAACGCCAGCAGATGCCCAAGGCAGCCCCAGCAGGTTCCCAGGAACAGCCCCGGGGAGGGAAGGGTGAGGAGCACCCAGTGACCACTCCACAGAGGAAGGGCTAGAAGAAGGCTCATTACCATGTTGGCCTGCCAGCCATCTACATTAACACAGCGGTCAATGCACCACCAGAAGTCATCCTCCGACTCCCCCTTCCAGGCAAATACGGCAACACCTAGAAGAAGAGGAGCATCCTTGGCATCTGCCGAGTTTGGCAGAGCTCTCTCCTGCTTGGCCAACTCAGGAAAGCCACAGGCAGGAGAGCCAAGGGGCCATGCAGAGATCAAACCGCAGCCCACGACAGGATCAGACCTGTTTATCCCTCCCTAAAAGATACGTGGTCCAAACCATTCCTGAAATTATTGCTCTACCCTTAATTGGTTTAGTAGTGGACTTGGCAGTGTTAGGTTAATGGTTGGACTGGATGATCTTAAAGGTCTTTTCCAACCTAAACGATTCGATAATTCTGTGATTCTATAAGTTAAACTGACCGGCTGGGGA